CTGTCAGACAGGTAACTGAGAACGGTTAATATTAAAATTAATAGATTGGTACAAATATATTAATGACAAATATATCTTTCACCAGATATCGATGAGTGTGCTTCTAATCCTTGTCAAAATGGAGGATCATGTCAATATCAAGTCAACTCATACAACTGTACATGTGATGCAGGATTTACTGGGGTCAACTGTGGTGAGAATTGTTCCATTATTTGAAATATTTCTTTGGAAACTTTTGGCGTAAATTATTTTTTCGGTAAGAAAAAATGTGGTTTTTTTGGGATGCATTAGATTAATTTATAAAATTAAAAAGAAGGTTAACAAAATATGGTTTACTTTGGTTACTCCCGCTAGAGCGGAATGAATCGCAGCCTTCTTTTAAATAGTCTTGATTCGGCCTTACCTACTAGGGAATCGTGAACATGAAATTTCTTTGTAACTTTTAGACTCAGGTCAAACGTCGAACTTCACCATGTGCCGAACTTAATTAGTTGAAATAAGTTCATGTGAATTTCGACGTTTGACCCAACTTAGTAAGTGGTTCGAACGATTGAATTTGGACCTAGACCAACAAAGATCGACTATAGATCGACTTGGGATCAAACGTGGAACCTCACATGTCACGAGCCTATCTAAATGCACATGATCATGTTAATGTATGTTTTGCACTCATTTGAATTATTCTTTGCTCCCACGGAAGTATCAAGCACAGAAAACTGTTTTTTGATCTGCTTTATAAAATAACGAGCACGCCAAAAAACGAAAAAAATATGGTATTATTCTGATGTATTTGTAAAGGATGACGCGAGCGTGTTTTGATACCCTCATCAAACACGGTTTTCGACCAATCGTAGCGCGCGTACTATCCCAACTATTTTATAATAAATTGATAAACATGGTTTGTTTAGTTTAATTTGTTTTAAGATCGAAATAAATAATTTGGACGTTTGATACCAAATACAGTTAGGGTTCAGTTCATGTAAAGTTCGACGTTTGACCTTAGCCTTACCTGTGTACAATGAGCGATTACTTATTACGGGTCACAAATCGTAAGAAATATGTTCGGACCGATGTGGCAAAGGCATGCAATGAGAGGAACAGCAGGTCGTGGGAGAACAGCCACTAAAATGCTTTGAACGCTCTGGACTCCCTACGGCATTTGCAGGCTTGAATTGTAATGACTGATACGCTAATCAGTCTCATACATTTACAGCTATTTCAAAAAAGGTTGAATACTGAATACTGCATACTGAATGGTGCATTCCAAGACCAAAGTGCATTGTGGGTCTCGTTAATCTAAAAAAAGAAGTTAATTCTCGACATTCACATCCCCATAATGCCTTGCGTTTTGGGAGGTAACCAATCAAAAAACTGTCCCAAATTGAAAGGTTTCTTAATTGAATTTATACTATACCTGCTTTTATCTGTACAATACTGATTATCAGTTTATTCCAAGTTATTTTTGCGTGTACAGATCATCAAGAGTTTTGGTCCTACAGAAAATGTATTGACTTACGAAAAAATGTTTAAAATTTACCTTAAACGTCTTCAAGCTTCTATTTTTTTCTGTTTTTTACTTCTTCATTTTATCTTTTGGATACGAAATTAATTAAAAACAAGGTATTTTCAACATTGTCTGATCAGCCTTCAGCAAAATAAGTGGGTTTTTACCCTCTGGTTACCCCCCAAAGACGCAAAGGATTATGGGGATGTGAAAGTCGAGAATAAAGCGTTTTCACGTGACGTCACAGCGGCCATTATAGGTTACCAAAACAATACATTTTCTATCCTCCGGGAATAGTCCCTTTCACAGTTCCCTGTGCCATCTTGAAAGGTAGCAGTGCCTTTGCCTTGAAGCGAGACGGACAGTGAGCTTGCAATGATAGAGACGTGAATAATTGTTCAAGGTGTTAAAAAAGGTCTCTATCATTGAAAGCTCACCGTTCGTCTCGCTTCGATGCAAAGGCACGGCTACATTTCAAGATGGCACAGGGAACTGTGAAAGGGACTATTGAATTCTATTTTTATGCAAATACTGTGCAGAAAGTTTCTATTGTTTATGGCTGCCTTCTCACGTGAGTGAATACGCTCCATATGTACAGCAATTAACTCTCTACATGTCACTATGACCCACAATGCATATTGGTCTTGGAATGCACTATTCAGTATATGCAGTATTCTTTTTTTGAAATAGCTGTATACCAGTGAAGAGGGAAATTTAGACTAATCATACCAGACGTTTATATTCATTAGGGATATGCTCATAATAAGACTGTAATAATCATTGTATTGTAGAATGGCTCAAAGTCGGTACTGAAGTGTGCATTGGTTCGAAAGACGATCAGTTTGGAAAGTTTACCATTCCAGTTGCCTGCCATGTCTTGAATTTCAAACTTGTTTATGTGTCTGGAGGTGGAATATCGTGGAGAACTGGAGAAACCAAAGCCTATTGGGGATCTACCAATATACAAAACAGTAAAGATCTTAATTTACACATTACGAATAACACCAACAATAGAATCAGTCCACCACCTGACTTCCCACTGACTAGGAGTACAAAAGGTTACATGCAATACGAGTTACCAGGTGTGACCAACATGGACCCAGAACTTATATTCCCCGAGTTGTCACCTCCCCTAGCAGTGACAGCAGGCAAGGAGTTCAGGATATGGGTGGATCAAGATCTGACAAACGAATATGAAGGAAACAACGAGGGACAAACTTGTGCTGAAGTTTGGATTAAGAAGCAGAATGTGTAATATGACTCATTTATGGCGGCGGAACGACTCAACCGGCTGGTGGAGAGGACATAAAAAAACTTCAAATGAAATATTGTGTTTGTGTTTACTAGTCTATCACTAATACACCACTAATAGCAAAGCCAATCAGAGGGCAGGATTTGTGATAGCCTATTAGTAGGTTTAGACTAAAACAATAAGAGCTCTCCGTCCTCATGGTCTACAAGTCAATAGCCCATTCGGCCTTTAGTGTTTTTAAATAATAAGACGATCAGAATATTGCGTATTTTTTTAGATTAGTTTTATAAGGTGCATTAATTTTAAAAATAGACCAAATCCAGGGCTTGTGCCGGTTGTGGGGCCTGGGTTGTGGGCGGAGAGATCTGGCGTGACTCTTGAGTCACGCCGCATTGCTTCGTGCACGACTTTGGTCACGTATCTGTGCAGGTTTTGGGTTTGGTCTATATGATATGATATACGATATAATATAACATATAGTGTTTTTCAAATGATTAGACATATAGGATAATATAATAACTCTTTCATGTTTATATTGTATTCCATGATGTTTTTAATTTGTAATGCGCATTTGATCATACTCAAATGTTAAAATGCGCAATGTAAGCAATAATATTGGGCCTCATATAGGCTATTGACTCGAAGACCATTTAGCTTCGGGTCCAATCCTTAAAATAGACGTCGTCTTTAGCATGGACAATTGGTTTGCCCATTTCAGACCACGTGTCATCTCTTTGAAAATGGGATTCTTCGTTTCATTTGCATCCCCCCCAAAAAAACCTCAATGGAATAACATGTGGTCTACAATTGGCTAAACATTACGCCCTAGCTATGCGGTCTATTGACTATCAGTTTGCTGCACAATATTGAGCACACAAAAAATTATGCATAGCAATCTCAAACGAAAGCAGATTATCTACTCGACTGTAAGTTCATTCTATGCCATGTGTTTTGAAGGCTGCTTTTTTGTTGGAATATATTAACATGCCATGTGTTTTGAAGGCTGCTTTTTTGTGGGAATACATTGACATGGAAGAATAAAATTTTCAAGCTATAACCTACTAATCAGCAGCCAGAATTCAGATGTAGACCAGGAGCAACTGAACGAAATTGAAACTGAGCTTACAGAATGGGGACTGAAAAAGTTTGAATGGCGCGAGAAGCGGATAATCAATGGAGAAGTTTATAGACAGAACTTTTTTTCTTCCCGCAAACTGCAGACATGACAACGTTTCATCGTTTACTTGCATTTCACTTGGCCTTGTGCAAACATTCTCACCAAAGACAAACATGTCTTTTCGGCGAAATTTTCATGTAGTAAAGGCTACCCTGCTTCCTTTACTGATTCTTATAATGTAGTTCCTAAATACAAGTGAATCGTTCTGCACAAGGCAGAACCGGGCCTTTGCAAAAAAGTGGCCCAAAACTCGCTTAGAAAGCTTTTGTCATTTCTATGTGGCCGGTTTTTATTTGGACTTTTTTTACGTCAAAGCGTACGTGCACATATATTGTAGAAAAAATACGAGTTATACTTCTCCCTTGGATTACAGCTTAGCAGATACTACCAGCAAAGGTTTAAAAAGCGAAGGAGGTAAAATGGCCTCAAGTTTTTCTCTGTACTGCACTGACTTCATTTCATTACAGAATGCTAGTTAATAGATTTCAACACATAAAAAGCAGGAATGGATAGAAACGAAAATAATAAAAAAATCCAGGTTACTTCTTATCCTTCGATTGTAGGCTGTGTAAAACAATAAGGCTAATAAGCGTTCTATTCGTCATCTTCTTCACTATTTGATTCCATAGGAGTAGAATCCCCTTCACCACTACTTTGTTTCTCGTCCTCATTATCGTCGTGGCTTTCTTCTTCATCATCGTCTTCGTTATCCTCGTCGTCTCTTTCCTGATCGTCTTCTCCCTCTTCATCTTCTCCCTCATCTTCTTCCTTTTCTTCTGTTTCCTCGTCTTCTTTTTCTTCGTCTTCCTTACTTGCCTGTTCATTTTCCTATTTAAATTACATTWAAAAAAATCTTAGTTTATCTTATCCAAAATTTACATAACGTTCCCACGTGGGGCTTCAAAGCTAATTAGTAGGACTAGGAGACGGTTTTCTTCGTTTAGCAATGCTCGTCGTTTCTGCAGGCTTACAACGTGTCTTCTAACTCCTACAGGTCACTAACTGCTCATATCACATGATTGTCATGCAATCTGATATTACTTACAAACATTGACATGTAACATCTACTTGACCCATTGACTCACAGGGAACCCGGCTATATATTTTTTTGCTTCTTTTAGAAAAGAAACTTTGCTCTGTGGGTTTCCTGTGTCGTGATCGGTTTCCTATTACATTAGCTGTAATCAGATCTGCGCTGTGATCAGATCGGCCCTGTAAACTGATAGCCGATTCTTGAATTTTGAATTCAAATCAATAACCGTTGGTGTCTTGTTTCGTATGGGTTGCCTGTGGTGTGTAACGCACTTTCTAGTAA